GATATATGTTGTAATTAATTTTAAACTCTCATGGAATTGATTAGCATATATCCCATCAAGTGGTTTTGTGCTAACAAGAATTCCTCAAACTCAGTTTCTTTTTTTTTTGTGACAACACACTTCTTCATTTGGTTAAATTCTTCAAACTCAGTTCAAAGGTTATAAACCATAACAATATCAAATCGTGTTATGATCGATAAAAGTATGTTAAAAAAACGATGTTATCACTTTGGTTCTAGCTTCTAACAGCCAACATTCACAACCAAAATTCTTATAAATTAATGATTCAATTCATAATACAACAAAAGCCAAACAAAAAGGGACAATAATACATTTATATTCCAAAAACAACTGTAAGATCTTCTAACATGTCTAGAAGAGTCATCGATCATCTATAGCCAACAACAAAACTATGTTCCTAATTACTCTTAATTGAGCGCGGATCCTGCCCTAGTATTATAAAATAATGGTTAAAATTCTTTTTGTTTTATTTACAGAAATAAATATAAATATAGTTACTAAAAGATTCTGTTATGATTCCAATTTGCCATGTCATCTTTTATCTAAACCATGTCACATTTTTTTGAGTAAGAGTGATTGTGGAATTGACATGTAAGCAAACTCTAAAAAATCACTTCCCAAATAATATATAAGGGATTGTATATTTGATTAGGCATATTAGGTTAAGTACATTGATGTATAAATATGTGTCCAAGGCATTGAGATCAATAACACATCTCTAAAACCACTAAACCTTTGTGCGTAGAGAAAGATTTCTATGGGAATAGATCATTGCCAATGTGAGGAGTACAAACCAAAAACATCCTCAAGAGAAGATGTACTTGATTAAAGGGGAGTATGTGCTTTAGTTAAGTATCAGATCATGATTTAGAGAATTTAGACTTGTGTAAGATTAAATTGAAGCATGTATTGTAGCCGAGAATTAGTTAAATTGAATGAGACCTCGTTAATCTTTGAGTGATCTCATTTAGCGGAGTCATATATTTGATTTGTTTCCGCATTTACATAAGAATGAAAAGTTTTATGCTTAATTTGAAAGATAACTTAAAGATGAATAAAATTATTCAAAAAATCTCTTTAATGGGTCTTACTCACTTCTGAATGTGCACAAACAGAGTGCTTACAGTCTATTTTTATTTTTTTACAGTTATTACTTGCATACGTCGGTTTATAGCTAGGCATTAGTTGCCTATACCGATCTTAGTTTTATTTGGAACCAAAAAACAAAATCTCTAATTAGTTACTAATTGTCATATATGGCGGTACTAGTTTGTCTTCCTTGTTGATTTGCGGCGTAGTCATGTCGCTCAACTGGCTTGGGCGATCATTGCACTGGTTTGCTTCTGAGACATACCACTGCTTTCCTTGTATGCAGAACTGTTCTTCTGAGACGAAGAGGAAGATTGGCTTGAAGAAGCAGCAGTCTCAACAAATTGGGTAGTGACTTGTTCCCATTTAGTGATTGTCTGCTTAAGCTCGGTCTTTTGTGTTGTTGTCACTGCCTTTGCGCTTGCGATTTCACTGTTGATTTCTTGTAGTTCCTTGACACTGTTCATCACTTGTTCTTGGTAAGTTTCCATGGAGGTCTTGGTCTAAATCATACAAGAAAAGAAAAGAAGATGAGTTTATTATATAATCAAAAGGAATCTGTGAATAGAGTTGGAAAGATGGTTTCGTTTTTACTCACCTCTGCTGATTTGCTGAACCTTGAACGCACAAACATCATGGCCTCGGATAGTTTCCCAGCAGCAGCTCTCATCGTAGAAACTAAGTCTTGTGCGTTTGTGGAAGAAATCTTTGAGGAAGCAGACATAGATGTTTTGAGTTTGTCGAAGAAGACCCTGAGTTCTGCATTCCCTGTATACTTCTTCTCAAGGCTCGAAATGAATGACATGACTTCACTAGAAGTCTCAGTCTCGACTTGTTTCACCGATGTTGTGGATGATGCGCTAGTTTGGCTTCTGCTCTTGGATTCTTTATTCTCGGCTCCGCTCTTGGATTCTTTACTCTCGGCAGAAGCGGTTCCTTTGCTTTGATTCTCTAAGCCAGAGGAGCTAGTGGTGGGACTTACCGCTTTTGTACCGGTAGTGTCTGAGTAAGTATTTCTAGAAGCGGATTCTTTCTTCTTTGAAGAACCTGAAGCGGATTCTGAAGCAGTAGTAGTAGAGCTGTCCTCAGTTGTCTGACCAGAACCAGAAGATTTGGGAGTGGGACTTCCACTGGGACTTGCTGATTTTGTACCTGTAGTGTCTGGGTATGCAGCTCCACTGCCACTTGATTCTTTTGTCTCGCTACCACTTGATTCTTTTGTCTTGGAGCCAGTTTTAGTTTTCGTTGCGGATTCACTTTGGTCAACACTTCCAGAGCTGGTTGGCGAACTTCCAGAGGGTGTTGGGGTACTTTCAGAGGGTGTTGGGGAAATTCCAGAAGGTGTTGGGGTACTTGTAGAGGGTGTTGGGGTACTTCCAGAAGGTGTTGGGGTACTTGTAGAGGGTGTTGGGGTACTTCCAGAGGGTGTTGAGGGTGTTGGGGTACTTCCAGAGGGTGTTGGGGTACTTCCAGAAGGTGTTGGGGTACTTCCAGAGTTGGTTGGGGTACTTTCATCTTCACTCGAAGAGGAACTGCCGCTGCTTCCAACTGATTGATTAACATCAACATCAAGTCCGTAAGATGAGATATCAATCGACTTTCCCCTCTGCTCGGCTGCAGTCTTCACGAATGTTAGGAGCATTCGAGTCCATTGCACCATAGCAATGATCAACTGTTTCCTTTGTCTGAATGACATAATCCTTGAACCACTCCTCTTCTGCTCAATCAAAATCTTTCCCATTGACAACATGGTCGTCTGGAAACTCGACACACGCTGTCCCAAAAACAAAGATCGATAAGAAAACACAGATTTTATTCTTGGAGTTAAACAATATTATGTGAATATTTACGGTATTGTACTTACTGATGATTTTCTGCCTTTGATTGCATTCAGTACTTCACAAGATTCGAAAAGCGATTTGGCTTTCCCATTCAACTCGGTATCAATGTTGCTTGATGATGAGACCGATACTGATTGGAGGAAGGACATGTAAGCCTTGAAACTCGAAAAGAAATTCTTGAACTCTCTAGTCGCCGGACACCCGCCTTCGAGGTTGCTAACCAACATCAACATACCCTTGCACGCGTAAGGCGTAAAGGCTATGCAAGTTCGTGGAACAAGTTTCCGCCTCAAGTAAAGCTTTAACAAGAAATGTCCTTGCACTTCATAGACCATACTTGATGCTACTATAAACATCAGACAAATTGCTAGTAGATTTTTTGCCATTTTCTTATTAGACGAACAAAAAAAGTGAAATTATAACAGAGTTAAAACTATC